TATATATATATATATATATATATCAGGGGAACGAAGAGCGTAATAAAATGCGTACTTATTATTTAATTTACATTTTTAATTAAAATACGTTGGGTCTTCAGTCTTCGTTAATTAAAATGTGACGAATTAACGATAATTGAAAGAAATTCTAATTCATTTCAATAATTTACGCGAACACGCACGCGCGCAAATATTCGATTATATATGAATTCTGTCCAAAACTAAGTGATGTTAATTATAAAATATAATTGTAAAACCAATTAAGTGTGTGAAATTAATATGCAATGTACGTAACTCATATACTTTGCATGTATTCATCGAGAAGATTATGACACAAAGTGGACGGTGTGTACCACGTGACTTTCGCAAACCAAGGAGCGGAATGTCGCAACTCTATATATATATGGCTCTGCCTCCGCGGGCCGCAGCGCGCCAACCGTCAACTACCGTCAACGTACAAACGTCAACCAAGTATTTTAACGCTCAGGATCGGAGGTGGCCTACGTACGTAAAAGGTTTGCGTCAACAACCGTAAAAAAAAAACTTCTAAAAAAAATTTCAATACCAAGAATTCGAGGGTACGTTTAACTGGGGTACGTAAAAAACGAGGTTCTACTATTACAATTCAACGCTACAGTTAAATGCTCTTTGCGCCTACAACAGTCAAAAACTTTACAAAACAAAGGGGCCGCCTAGTAGAGGTAGTCAGGGGGTGGGGGAAGTCCCGAAAATTTAGGGATTTGAAAAGCTCATACAGTAGAACCCCTGTTAAGGGGACACCTTTGTGACCAAAAAAGTGTCCCATTAATAGTGGTGTCCCCCGAATAGGGGTACCCCTATTCGGGGACACTTACCAAAAACGTGAAATTCTCCCATTAATAGGGGTTTTTGGCATGTTTTCATATAACGATGACATACAATTCTTCATAATTTTATTTTTATTGACATAATTAGTTACAGTAGAATTTATAACTTATTTATAGCAATAATTTCCAAGGCAAATACGTCAATTCACAATAGTTTTATATGTTCCCAATATTGTTTCATGATGCAATGTTAATGAATGAATTAAAATCCTAAAACAGTGCACGAAAAACGAAAAAAAAAAAAAAAAAAAAAAAAAAAAAAAAAATAAAAAAAAAAAAAAAGAAATCCCAATGGTTAAGGGTCAAAATTGACAAGATTAGTTTATACGAAGTAACACATGCAGTATGCCTTACTGATATTCACTCTAAGGATTTAGGGAGAAAATTCTGGTTTATTGCTCAAATTTCAAATTTCAAAATTCAACTGTCATTTCAATTTATTCAGAAAACCTCCGGAACAGAGAAGTAAAGCAGTAAGCCTACAATAACTATAAAACAATAGAAAAATGTCATTAAAAAGGATAAGTTATTCATACATATACCAGAATGATTAAAGATGCATTGTCCCATGCTAAATACCAAAAAAATCATAACAATATTTTTTGAAATTAACTTGCCCATTTTGAAGTAACATAAATATTTTCAACTTAAACACAGAAATTAGTGTATTTAAAAAAATGTCTACCCATCAGTTTACAGCGAAACATGATAGAACACTTCCATTCACTGGAAGTGTTATATTATTTTTATTGTATTTATTTTTTTTTAGTTTAAAAATCAGAGTACACATTTTTTAAATTCAATAATTGTTATGCACAAGTTAATAATTTGTATGCTATTGCAGTTTGAGCAAATTTATTTCAAAATTATTTTTTATGATTTTTTTGACATTAGCAAGGGACAATACTTTTAAAATAAAAACCAAGAAAACCATGCAAAACAACAAACCATGAAAATACTTAAACACACCAAATTACTGCCAAACAAAGACGGATTATTTTACTTGGTTCAAAATTCTTTTTGCAATTTCAGTTATATAATAATAATAATTTTATTATTATTATTATTATTATTATTATTATTATTATTATTATTATTGCGCAGTCTAACATAAGCTCGCCCTTGACAAACAGCAGTAGAAAGGTGGTAAAAGTTCCTTAATAAGTTGCTCTAAATGTGTCGTATTTAAAGTTTAGTTATTTTTTCTTATTTTGAGACTGTTGTATTTGTTGTGATACAATAGAAAAAGTGTCCCCTTAATTGGGGTTATTTGACCACTTGGCACACTCAGTGTCCCCTTAATAGGGGTGTCCCCTGAATTGGGGTATCCCAAAGGAAAGGTTCTACTGAAACTTCTAATGACGAACTATTGTTTTCAGTTGTCTTTCTTGGTCATTCAACTGTCATTTTATCTATTTTTTCGGTGATATTACCATTCTCAATTCCCCCATCAGTCCCCCTTCTATTTCAAGGCATCTAGATACGCCACTGACTTACATGGCCAGTTGAATGAAAATACTCAATCGATGTGCCACCAAATCGTAACCATCCTTCACCATGCCCTAACGATGTCACCGGGGACGCAACTGCCAAAAAACTATTTTTGGCAGCGAAGGGAAGCTACCAATAAACAATCAACAAACTACCGTGTTTCTGGGTTGATTTGCAAGGTACTACATAGCTCAACTATTTTTTAATTAGGGGTTAATCGGTAAAATTTCACACAAATCATACGACGTCACTGACAACGCCGGGGACGGCAACTCGATTTTGAGATTAATTTTCCGAATAAAGTTATACTAAATAACTTCTAATGACGTACTATTGTCTTCAGTTGTCTTTGTTGGTCATTCAACTGTCATTCTATTTTTTCGGTAATATTACCATTCTCAATAATCTATAAAACACCCATATAACAACGTCACGTTAGATCTATCGGTGGGGACGCCGTGGTGACGCCGGTAGGATCAATTTTCGTCCGAAGGTATCCAAGATGATAAGCAGTTCAATTGGACTAAATTCCTGCTTATGTTAACCACATGCTTAACTAAGATTATGCTGACACTGGTTTCAGATCACGGTCAAGTAGTTAAAATCACCTAAAATC